TAATTCTTAATACTTTTGCAGTTAACATGTGTCTTTTCTTCTCCACCTGTTTTTTTCTGACCCCGCTGTCCCATGGCTCATTTTATCAGTAAAAGAAAACATGCCTAATAATTCTGCGCACCTGAATATAAGGAGTTTTTCACTTCCAGCCTTCATGGACAATTATATATCACTTATAAATGATTAAATGAAAAAAATATCATCAGAATATCAACGTGCCTAATAATTATGCACGCGGTGTATACGCACACACACACAAACATATATATATATACTATTTAGAACTATTTAGGGAAATATTCAAATAAAACATATGAATGTTTAAAAAAGGTAGATGGACAGACAAAGCAGACTATTATGCAGAGTGTGATGCTTAAAACAAGTAAAAAATCAAGACAAATGTCCAAATAAATCTTGTTTTAAGCATATTTACATATTTTTAGAGTAGGAAAATAAGATAGCAAGTTAAAATAGTGTCTGCAGTGCATAAAAAGCAAAGTAAGTGAGGAATTTTGACACACTGTTGTGTTTTGTGTGTCAGCCCAAGTGCTGTGCAAACGTGTTGTGAATGAGAAAAGCTTTTAGTGCACTTGTGTGAGACCGTATGTGTGTGTGCGTGACCTGTTGCCAGGCTTCTGTAGGTGTGATTGGCTCACAGCTGTAGATAATGGATCAGTTCTCAGTGGACTGTGAAGGAGAAAGTTGGTGAACAAGGAAATCGGCAGTACACTTCCCCTCAGCCTGCAGCCGACGGGGCCTAATGACTGTGCCCTGTGACCGCACACACACTTAATACAGAAGGAACCACAGACATTTACACAGGCCGTCTGTCATTCCGTAGCATGCCAGCTTGGGCAGCGAGATCCTTGCCAGAAACTAAACGTTCACCCAGGGAGAGCGAGAGATACACACACACAGACCGCCACAGTTTAACAGACACACACCCACTTCCTCTGTCTAACAAACACTTTAGAGCTGTTTTACAAATGCTGCCAAAGACATATTTAATATCTCTCTTTGTATTAAAGATGCACGCTGTCTTTTTCACACATGCACACAATAGCCAAAAACTGCTTCATCTGCAGTCTGGGTGACAGGTTTACCCAGCTTTTGCTGAATCATGTGTTTGACGGATTTAGCAGCGACGTGATGAATAGACCTGCTTAAGAAATTCAGTAACATCAACAGAGAGAAACAAACAAAAGATGTCAGTCATGTCAGGTTGTGGCTCATTCTTATGTTGGTACTGTATGTGTGTGGGCCAGGTTTTGCCTTCATCGTGAAGCCCAAATGTCCCCAGAAGGATAGTAAAACCTGAGATTGTGGAGACCAGCAAACGATCGGAGGAAAATAAGAAAAAGACTAGAAATATAGATGCGATGGTGCTTGGGGAGACATATGGAGCGGTTGTTATTTTTGCATTTACTCACACTTTCCAGTGCCTCGCTGTAAGCTTGCACTCTTTCACTATTTCATTGGTCTTTCCTCATTGCTGCTCTCTCAAATGTTGAGAGAGTGTGCATATATGAAGACAAGATGGCTTGAAAGTTTTAAGTCTCACAAGCGATACTGTAATATTGAGGCTTTCTTGTCACAGACTAGCTGTCAGCAGACTAAAAATAAAGGCTTGGAGTTTGTGCTTAGCTTTTAATAAACAGTGAATGTCTTAATGAAAATCTAAAAATGCTAACAGGTTTCTGTGTGGATGCACAATATATGTGTGATATATCTAACTTGTCTTTCATGTATTGTTAACTGAAACTTTGCACCAAAAATACTTTTTTTTCAGTATTGTCTTTTATCAGTATTGTCAATATTGTATATACATACTGTATTATTTTTATTTTAAATGAATATATCGTCTAGGGATGAATAATGTATTAGTACTAAATTGGTTATCAGCTAATATCAGAGTTTTTTTTATTTATAGGTATTGGTTAACAGGGATGGGCAGTATTTCAAATACATGTATTTAAAATATGTATTTGAAATACAAAATACTATTTTGTATTTAAAAACCTTTGAAAAAAAATCTAATATATTTTGTATTTAAATATATTTAATCTTAGTATTTTTGTATTTTCAAAATACATAAAATACTTTTTGCCAATCTTTATTAGACTGCTGATTTCCTGTATCAACTAGTTCAAACATGCCTGTAACCGGGCGAACGAGGCGAGAGACGTGCAGATCCATTTGCAAGCTTTATTAGACAGAGACGTGGTCAATAACACAGGCAGGGTCGAAACACCAGCAAACAGGTATGGCACGGGCAAGACACAAGAGTGTTCCAAGGACAGACGTGATCAGACTCCGGCGAACAATATCCAACAGGTACGCAGCAATAGTCCAGGCTGGGGCAAACAGAGTCCGAACGGTAAAACAGTAGATAATCCAAGGTACACAGGCAGGAATCAGGAAACAGGTAATAGCAAGACTAGACTAGACTAGACTAGACTAGACTAGACTATGAAAACACGAAATGGCTCCGTAAAGCAGCTATCACTAGGAGAGTGATAAGCGTAGAACAATACTCGGCGATTAGAGAAGGATTTGAGTGGTTGTTATATAGTGTGTGTGTGATTGGCTGCAGGTGAGTCCAATCAGTGCAATGGAGCATGGGAAATGTAGTCCAGGGTGACGTGCAACAGTTTGTGTGGTGTGAGAGTCAATGTAATCAGAAGGCGACCTCTGGTGGCGAGCAGACGGAAGACCACGGACCGGATTCGTGACAATGCCACTTTCATGCATGTGAGCTGCAGCTGGATGACTCCATCTAGAATTGGGTTCTAGGATTTTCTGGATTCCTGTAAAGAAATAAGGAATAATACTGCCTTCGTGTGCTATCAGAATGTCCTATTTCCAATTTCAGAAGTCCTGATTACAAGCATCTCGCATTCAAGTGCTTTGCTGTTGGAAAGAATAGGAATCGTGGAGGACGCCAGGTTTTCTGGGAAAATCTTATTAAAGCCAAAATCGTAGATATTTAAGATATTTAATTTTGAATAAAATGTAGCATCCCATTTGTTGACAACTATATCATAATTCACAGTGCTATCTTTACAGTTAGCTTGTTGATGATTCTGGATTTTCAGTCAAATACATGCTGTTTTGCTGTGTAGAAAGAAACCATACAAAATGCTTGAAATGGTTATTGCACTATGTGCATGACTTGCTTTTGTTGGGAAAAAAAGCATACCTGTCCCAGCAGGTAAAAAAAAAGCACTAGCAAGGGGAACATATCATTAGCACTAGTCAGTCTTGTTAGGTTTTTTTTTTTTGGGTGAGATTTTGGTTTTATCAACTAGTTAGTCATATGTGTTCATTAAGCTTTAATCATTACTGCTTGCTATGGCGATATGACAATATACAGTATATGTCGGTGATGATATAAAGTGTAAATCGACTTTTTCTATATCATTTATATATCGTCGTGGTATGCAAATATATCTGTGGAGCTTTTAGTGGGCAGGAGCTATTGACACGTCAGAGCGATAAAGAAACATGGATGAATGAGTAATAAGCAGCTTTCTGTGTGTGTGTACCCCAAGACAAAGATAACTATAATGCTAATAATAAAGATATATTAAAATAAATTGTTCAAAGGGCATACTCACACTAGGCACAGTTGCCTTGAACTAAAGCACAAGCGCGATTGTCCTTTCGCTAACAGACAGATATCACAGGATTATTACAGAGGCAACTGAGGTTAATGGTGGATTTTGCAGCTTTACTCACAAACTATAATACATGTTCATCAGTAAGATGAGAACCAGTCCCATTATAAATCTAAATGTACTCGAAATGAAATTAATTGAAAAGTATGTTATCCAAGTAGTAATAAAGATTTTTGCTGTCATAACGATAACAATAGCGCATACAAAAATAGTAAATTAACTGTTCCATGCTCCAGCGCGGTTAGCGATCACACTACATGTGTACCGCACCCGAGCCACCTCTTCAAGCGGGCCAGGGCATGGTTAAACGAACCGCACTGGACACGGTACACAGCAGTCGCACTTGTGAAATTAACTGGACTCTGGGGGTCAATCGCGCTCAAGCATGGATCAGAATCCCTAGTGTGAGTACATCCTAAATCTAAGTGAATAGCAGACAGCACACCACAACTATAACCATAACAGCACACAAAATGATGAATGGTAAAAACACTGACAGCCAATCGGAATCATTTCTGCTTTAAAGAGCTTGAGCATTTAAAGTGACAGATGACACAACTGCATTGTATACTTAGAATACACTAATATAGTAATCTTTATAATTATCGTTCTTAGTGTAAACAGGCCTTAATAGTGTTACTTCACTGGATGGCCAATTTCAAATGTATTTTGTGTATTTTCAAAATACTGTATTTGTATTTAAATACATTTTCCCACACAGTATTTGTGCCCGTCTCTGTTTGTTAATCTTAAATATGTCGTGACAATCTCATTAACCCTGCTTTTATATTTAGATTACATTTAAGTTCATGTAATGCTCATTGAAAGGTAAATGTAATCTAAATGTAAAAATACTAATAATTTTTTTGAAAACACATTTAATAATTTAATAACAGAATGCAAGCCAGAAATGTAATTTTGGTGTGTCCCTACATTCTCAGAAATAAGGTACAAAAGCTGTCACTGGGGCAATATCCTTTCAAAAGGTACACCTTTGTACCTTATTTATCCTTAAAGGGTGCATATTAGTACTATAAATATGCATGTTAGTATGTAACGTACATATTAGTATCTACATGGTACATATTAGTGCTTTTTGAAAGGGTACCGCCCCAGCGACAGCTTCTGTACCTTTTTTTCTCTGAGAGTAGGTTTCTGTGATTTTGGTTTTAGAAGTATGGAAAGAAAATATAATTAGCTCAGTATAAAAACAATAGAAGTCAACTGAAAGTCACCACCGTGCTAGAAAAACGTGTGTGTCTGTGTTGTCTCTGACTCCTCTCTAACGTAAGCTTATTGCTTCTTTTTACTCTTTCCCAACAGAGAGCTAAAATTGGTCCCAGCAAAACAGACGGCTCTTCCTCCAACGCCATCTCCAAATTCGACAGCAATGGCAACCGGGACCGCATGAAACTGTCCGACTTCAATTTTCTCATGGTGTTGGGCAAGGGTAGCTTTGGAAAGGTAACTCTTGCCATCTTCTTTCGCTCTCTCTCTCTCTGTGCGTCTCAGGTAGACTCACTGGTGCTTCGAGCAGCAGGTATTCTCGATCTGTGAGGTCACTCTAAACAAGTAAGATTACTGGAACGCAGGCTAAAAGACAGCGAGAGGGGAAATAGGAGGGGGAGTGGGCTCATGTTCCAGCTGCTGCCAGTTGCCATGGCAACAGGATTTTAAAATGATATTGATATGTTGAGGTGCAGTGCTAGACCTCTGTCAGCATCATTAGCCGAGACTGTTTGATGTCATCCAAATCATGACAAACTAAATGTCAGGCTCACTGTTGCATCTGATAGACTGATCTGTCCAGTTCACTGCTGCACCTTCATTCTCGACCAGACGTCATACACAGATACAGTACGTGACTCTGAGGTTCTCTGCAATCTCATAGACTCGTGTTCAGATAGCAAAGGCAGTGCTGAAGTCAGCCGGAACTTGCAGTCTGAAAAAAATTGTGATTGTTTTCCAGTAAAAATCTGCAGAACATTAAAATAGTTTTTGGATAAAAAGATATGATAGAGCTCGTTTTCTTAACTTAGTCCGGTGCTCCAGACTGCAACTAAACAGAAGTGGTTGTTGTAGGCAACAGTAAGCGTAGCGTGAGCTGTGCCCTCCGATTTTTGAAAATTAAAAAAATAAAACTACTATGAAGCAGTTTTTTCTAATGAGTCAGTCAAAAAGATTCAAGAAATAGTGTTAAACTCACCCGTGAGTTAGCAGATTGAATCAGACTCCCTCAGTCAGTGAACTGTCACTTCTGACTCTCTCTGAACTGTCAGTGATTTTGCAATTATGTTTGTGTGAAATTGAACAAGGAACCTTTAAGAAAAGGCTTTATTTATTTTTTATTTTTTTTGTCATAGGCCATACAATTGGCAGATTTTATTAAAGGATACAATGTAAAGTTTTCTTTAAGGATAAAAAAGTAAGGTTTAAAGTCTGCATGAAATGAAAACATTTTTTCTAAATGCGTGTTTATTGATAACATTGTGAATTTTTGAGGTTGTATTGTTGAATCAAAAGGTCATTACTCGATCTTGTTACTTATGTAACATTGACACTTTAAAAAAGACAATTGGCCAATTATTGAATAAGGAAAATGAAACTTAAAGGGATAGTTCACCTAAAAAAATGATAATTTCTTTACTCACCCTCAAGTTGTTCCAAAACTATATGAGTTTCTTTCTTCTGTTGAACATAGAAGATATTTTGAAGATTGTTGACTTCCATATTATGGAAGAAAATACTATGGAAGTCAATGGTTACTCTCAGCTGTTTGGTAACAAACATTCTGCAAAATATCTTGTGTTCAACAGAAGAAAGAAACTCATACGGGTTTGGAACAAATGGAAGGTGAGTAAACAATGACAGAATTTTCATTTTTGGGTGAACTATACATTTAAATCAAGTCATAGTATCTTACACAATTTTGCTTCTCAATTCTTCTTCTTCGTCTTGTTTTTAAAGAAATAGGTTACCGAAAAATGAAAAGTTTGTCATCGTTTACTCACCCTCATGTCATCCCAAACATGTATGAGTTTCTTTCTTATGTTTTAAATTAAAGAAGATATTTTGAAGAATGCTGGTAATCAAACAGTTGTTGGTCCCCATTGACTTCCATAGTATTTTTTTTCCTTACTATGGAAGTCAGTGGGGTCCAACAGCTGCTTGGTTCTTCAAAATTCTTCAAAACATCTTCTTTTGTGTTCAACATAAGAAAGAAACTTACAGGTTACAGGTTTGGAACGACTAAATTTTGACAAAATTGTCATTTTTGAGTGAACTATTCCTTTAACAATGTTGAGATACTTTTATTGGAATAAAGACAAAGATGCTCATTAAAAAATCTTTTACAAGAGTAAATAGGGGACTGGTGGCACTTTGTCAAAAACACTGTAGATTCCATGATGCCGAGCCTTCAGCAGAGGGAGCTTCAAAAGCTGACAGATGTGCACTTTCACAAGTCCAGTTGTGTGATTATGGGTTTGATGCAGATCTCACAGTTGGAGACATGATCATTGATCAGATTCTGTCCTTGAATATGCTGATCCTGGAGCAGTTCTCATCCAGGGCCCAGCAGATATTTTTGTGCAGCTGTACTAGCTGACAATGTCCTTGAGACTTTGGAGCACTGTGTGCAGTCGTGTACCTTTTGTTTGATGTGCGTTTTTCTAAACAGGTATGCAGTGGTAATGAATGCGTTGGAATGGATATGACCTGCTTGCTATGCTGCCAGAGTAGTGTGTGTGTGTGTGTGTGTGTGTGTGTGTGTGTGTGTGTGTGTGTTAGGGTGTAGAGCCTGTGAGGAGCAGATGGTGTCCTCTGTAATGTTGAAGTGTATCGTTTCTCTTTTCCCATCGCCAGTCACAAGGTGTCCATCTGGGGCTGCCTTTACACTGAAATAACTCCGCTCATTTCAATATGTGCATTTATTTTCAAGAGAGAGCTAAAAGGCAGAGCCAGACTGTCCGTAAAGTTTCTTCAAGCATTACTTTTCCTCTGTCAGTCAGGTTTTCTCTATGTGACCTTGACGCAGAATGAGTATTTGAGAGATGCTTTCACACACTGATGAAGCGCTATTGGTTTGGTGACAAGAAGTGCTGTGGCTGTGTCAGGCATATTGGATTGGGTTTAAATTCATCTCACATGCATAACAGTGTTGGGGAGCTAATTTGAATCTGTAGCTTTCCAAACTACAAGAGACACATAAATAGTTATGCTACAGTCAAGCTACTCTTTCTACAACCTGAAAAACATCAAATTGCTGTATCTAGAAACCTTTAAAATGCCACTCAAATTGGTAAATTCTTTTTTTGAATTGGTTTATTTACATGGACAGATTATTTGCAAAGAATCAGATTTTCTGGTGCTACATATGTGAGAGAGAAAGGATATTTTAGGAGAGCATGTTTGTTTACTGCCTTGTCGTGCTATGCTGCTACTTGTTGAAAAAAGTAGCTTGTTACTGGAAAAGCTACACAGTTTTGAAAATGGTTACACTACTGAAAAAAATTGACTTCATTTGCATATGGATGTAATGTACTGTATTAAGTCAGGCACCACGGTGTAAAACTCAAAGTGTGAAATGTTGCTGCTCTGAAAGCTCTTATTTGTTTTCTTTTTAATGGTATTGATTGAGATCAGTGTTTGATTTCATTTTTCTAGGTCATCTATGTTTCAGCTATGTTTATATGGTAACAGATGTTTTACCAGACGTCTCAATATTAGATTACAATATACAATATTACATTGTAGCTTAGCTTTAGTTTTAGTATTTGTTAATTGGCATTATTTAAATTTAGTGATGTTATTGCATTTAATTTTACTTTTTCATTCTGTTCTGATTGCTTTAAAGGGGTCATATGATGCTGCTAAAAAGAACATTATTTGGTGTTTATGCACCAAGAGCTTGTAACACTCCAAAGAGAAAGGAAAAATTGAAATTGCATCATATGACCCCTTTAATGTTATCTATCTGGCAAGCTTTATTTACCATGTAAAAAAAAAAATTCTTTCTTCCTCATTTTGGAGTAATAAAAATGTATGTGGGTTCAATTTTATTTATATTAAAATGTTTATGCATTTCAATTAAAATGTACTTTTTACTGTTTATGCTTATTTATTTAATCTTCCTTCATTTCTATTGGTCTTTGACTCAGTGCCGTCTTTCTCTCTTCTCTTTAAACTTTCTCCCTCTTTTTTCTTCCATCCCTCTCTCTCTGGTTGTCTCTTCTCTTTAGTATGTGTGCCTTCAGGCTCAATCCTAAAAATGAGCACAATTAAAATCTGCCTTCCCATCACTCAAGATTTCCTTCACCGTGCCATTGTGCCACACTCAAATCTGCTCCTTATCGTCTTCACATGTGTGCGAGAGCTTCATCTCTCCTCTGTCCGTCATTTCTCTTCGTCTTTGTATATCATCTGTGCCTCCGCTGCAGCTACTGTATGTTCTCTGGCCTAACATGCTCTAAACGTGCTGAGAATGAGTGTAAATGCTGCTGTATTGATCCGCAGTCAAAGGCCAGTGTATCTTCTGCTAATAAATGTAGCTCATGCGCTGTGTTACAGTGTTGCTTTGCTCATCTCCTCATGCTTGCTTCAGTTATGTGTTTGGCTACATAACTCTGAGCATCCCTGCTACCTTCACGCTCTCTCTCTCTCTGTTTGTCTTTTTTAGGTGATGCTGGCCGAGAGAAAGGGAGGTGATGAGCTGTTTGCCGTAAAGATCCTGAAGAAGGACGTGGTGATCCAGGATGATGATGTTGAATGCACTATGGTGGAGAAGAGAGTGTTGGCCTTGTCAGGAAAACCCCCCTTCCTCACTCACCTGCACTCCTGCTTTCAGACCATGGTACTGCAGCTTCTCGTCTCGTCTCGTCTCTTCTGCTGTCATCTCATTTCATGTCTTAGATTCATCTCATGACGTCTCTTTTGCTCTCCTTTCTTCATCTTCTTGTCTCGTTTCGTATCTCATTTTGTCGTCTCATCTCATCTTCTTCATTGTGTCTATTCAGTTCTCATCTCACCTTGTCCTCTCTCCTGCTCTCCTCAGCAGCTTTTCATCTCTCGTACTTCTCTTTTCCTCTCCTCTTCTTACCTCATCTTCTCCGCTTCATTTCTCTTCGCCTCTTCTGCTCTCATCTCATTTCATGTTGTTTATTTTGTTCTTCTCTCTATGTCTCATGTAGACGCATCTCACCTCATCTTATGTCACGTCACCGCTTTTGCTCTCATCTCCTCATCTTCTTTTCTTCTTTTCTCCCTTCTCTCCTCTTCTGTTCTCCTCTCATCTGGTCATTCTTCTCCTCGTCTCTTTTTCATCTCATATTATCTCCTCTCTTTTGTTCGTCCTTACCACATCTTCTCATCTCTTCTCATTTCATCTCATCTCCTCTTCTCTCCTCCTTTCATAGCATCTCGTCACCTCTCCTTTTCATCTCAACTCATCCCCTTTTTGCTCCTCTCCTCTCTTCTCTTTCTCTTCTCAACGTATATCCTCTGACATAAGCTGAAGCGTGGGCACACATGTCACTGTGTATTCTTTCATTTTGTAGCACATGACCAAACACAAACACGAACTCACACAAAGGCACACACACTTGAATCCATCCCTCCCCATCCCCCACAAGCTGCTTAGAGACTGCAGTCATTTGTACATCGACAAGAATGCCGCCGCCGCCCTCTTTCCTTCCTGACAGTGATGGGACCTCCTTTAAGCACTGCTGCCTAGCAGTCCGTCTCCCCCTCGCACTCTTCATCACTTTCAGTCTCTTAATCCTCCCTGACTCTTAATTCCCCTGACCATCACACACACACACACACCACCACCACCACTGCAGGAAATAACACCACCCGCAACTGATGTAAAATAAGCCACATCATTACAGGAAGAAAGCTAATAAAATGGAGCCCAGGGAAAATGTGGCTGAAACTTGCAGATATGAAGACGTCGGGCATGTTTTGATCTTTGGATTTTGGCCCTGGGATTCGTCTCGTGTATTAGTGTGTGGATGTGCAGTGTGTGTGTGCGTGTGTGTGTGTGTGTGTGTGTGTGTGTGTGTGTGTGTGTG